GCGAACAGTGGAAAGATAAGTTTGTTGCCAATTCGGGTTGGTTTTACATTTGAAATGTATTTTGAGAGTATGCATGTTTGTTGGAATTTGCGTAATCATTGATGCTACTGTACTGCACGTTTCACCAGTGGGCTATTTCACCTCCTTGATCGTGATCCCTAATTTACTTTCTGTGTATTATTCAAGATTTTGTCTTTGTGAGCGATTAAGTTCCAAACATTGTTATTTGAATACTGTTGCTGGTTTTCGAGTAGTGTAAGTTTTTATATACACTGTGTTCAGTTGGGTTTCTTGGTTTGACTGGCTGTTTCACATTCATTTTGTTAGGTAGATGGAAGGAGGTTTGATTTTTTCGCCATTTCTTGTGTTGTTAAAATTACATTGAAAGATTATCCTCGAGTTTTCTCATAGTATCGCAGTATTTTCTCGTCGAGTACTCGTCGAGTCTGAAGCCTGAAAAAGTTTTTTCGAATGGTAGCTTCTATTTACTGTAGTTAATTTATACCACTTTCACATTTCCATTCAAGTCCACATTGAGTGGTTCTGGAACTGTAAACTTTCCAATTTTTAGCGGGACCTATCTCCAAGCAAATATATGCATGTTCATTTCGCAAAAGGCTGGGATACAAAAAATGTGAGCGGCAGTTGATGGTGCTATTTTATCCCTGCGGACCGGTTGAAGTTATGGACTCCGATGAGGATCCTAAACATGTCCATTATCCGATTGATGCTGCCGAAGAAAGCAGGTTTGATTTTTTTTTACATAGTTTCATAGTATAAACGACCGGGACGTGAGCTTATTTTAATGAACTGAGTTTTTCCTTTGTATTCACCGTATTCTCTGTTATATTTTCTGGCCGTCTTTAGAGATAGCTTTTTGACAGGAAAATGGGTTTTCAAACTTTTGTTATATTATTTATGCTTCTAAATTTCGAAAGATTTTTGACCGGAAGACCGGTCAGACTTGTTACTGATAGTACCATTTGAAAAAACACTTGGTTTTTAGCAGTTAGTTGATCAGTTAGTTTTTTTTTTAAACGTAGATTGGTGTAAATAGCAAGAAGTTGCTTTCTTATTTTTTTGTGGTTCTTTGTTCCTGTTCGTTTATGTTGTTTTGTAGTCATTAGTTCACGTACCTACCCAGCAAGGTTGATCTTGATATTTTAAAATTTAATAGGGAGTTGCGTACGGTGATTTCTCTACGTAGTCCGGCCGAGTTTTCAAGTTGGATGGCCAAACAGCGGGAGCGGTTTGCCTGGCACCGACGGGCCGGACGTCGTTCATTTTCCAACATTGATTACTACCAATGTGCGAGCGTTGGTAGTGATGGAAGAATGTGTAAGCGAATAATGCATGTTGAGTACACCCCGGAAAACGGCGTCATCGTTAAGGAACTTGAGAACTTACCCCCACACGACCAGGTTCCTGCTCATCGGAAACCGTTCAATGGGTATGTTGCTGCAATACTTTGGCAGTTTTGAAGTTTATAGAATATTTGAGATGCCTTTTGCTTCCCTTTTATCCTCTTCTGTTACAAATTTCATGTATGGGCTCAGATCGTCTCAAAGTAATGTTACCATCGGTCAGCAAAATTTTGTTTCTTCAGACTTTTTTGCCTAATTCCGTGTGTTGTTGTTCTAGTTCTAGTTTTGGGTAACGTTTACTTATTTTGATTAGTTCTCAGAGTTTATTTTGATTTCTAGTGTTTCCCACTTGCTTTTTTTGAGACACTTCCTTGGCACTCATTATTTTCAGGCAAGTAAAGCAGGTAAAACGGCATAAACGTGCTGAAAGTGACAGTGAATATTTGCCTTCCACCAGTGCATATAAGCCGACTCACTTGCGTGCAAGAAAAAATATGTGCGATGCATTAAGTCTTGGTTGTAATCGTGAAGTTTTGGAAGATGCTACTGAAGTAAAGGATTCGGGCGTTTTGTTTGAAAAGCCAGGTATTAAAGCTCAGTTGTAGGAAATACAGAACTGACGCAAGTTTGAAAGTTCTACATTTCTTGCATTTTTTTAAAATTCTTTTAGATTTTTTCCGTACCAATAACCAAATTTAATTTAGGAAAATATTGCAAC